TAAAAATAAAATTATGTAAAATTAATAAATTTTTTAAACATTTATTTATTTATTTTTACCAAATTAATTTTTATTATGTGTTTGGATGATGATCATGTAAAATTAATTTTAAAAAATTAATCATGTAATTTTTATTAATTTATCATTGGTGGATAAAAATAATTTTTAAAAAATTAAAAATATTTTTTTGACATTTATTTTTGTCAAATTAGTTTTATATTTTTTCAAATTAATTTATATTTTATCAAATTAACGATTTTATCCTTGAAAAATCTAATAATATTTTCAATTGTCTTTATTTGGAACAAGATTCAAAATTTAAGATCAAATATATCACAATTAAAAAGTCAGGGACTAAAGTGACACAAGTCCAAAACTATAGGAACTATTAATGTAATTAACCCTATTTCTTTTACATAATACCCTTTCCTTCTCTAGAGCTTCCACCACGGTTGCCAAAAGTTATAGTTAATGGTTTACAAAAAGAAATGGTTCTCTTAATTCACACAGCAGGTAATTCTATTTTATCAATAATTTATTAGTTATATGAATAAAAAATGATATTATTATATGGTAATTATCTAGTAATTTTGGTTTATAGACATGTGGTATTCTATAGCATTGTGATTGGTGGAGAAGGTGGGTAGATGGGATATTGTGTTGGGTGATTGAGGAACATAAAGGGACATATTGAACTAAGATGTTTATTTATCTTTGTATTTTTACCATCTATATTAAATTCTTAATAAAATTAAAAGGGAGATCAATATAATTATACTAAAATTAAAATACTTGTTACATTTTTTTTCCCTAAACTTTAAGAAATTCAGTTTAATTTATCAATAAAAAAAATATTGATATCTGTTGTCTGTCTGTGTCTTGACTGCCGAGTCCATAAACCCTTTTCCTAGGTATAAATAAATAAAATGAGTGCACACGTGCATGTAATATACTTAATAAGGGGATACAAATGCATAAAAATAGAATACAAGCTCACGTGCAATGGTAACTTAAATGGTTGTCTCTAATGTCAAATTGTGTCTCAGAAAGAATATGATGCCTAAAAACTTTGGATTCCATCCTTCTAATTTTAAACTAATAAGTCCGACTCACCTGCCAACTCTTTATTTTTAACAAAATGGTTGTCCCCTCATTGGTTGAAATGACATAAAAGCCCTTGATTATGGCATGAGGTTAATGCATTATCATTGGGGTCTTTAAGTCTTTTTACTTGGCCCAAAATCACAGCTTTAAATTAGTCTTAAAAAGGGTTCAATGGAAAATGTGCTAGTAAAGATAAAGGAGTCCCATAATGAGTGCACACACCTTCATTGATTCACTGTCTTTCCCTTTTCTTATTTTTTTAAAGATATATAATAATATTGTTTAAAACCCTAATTGGACCAAAGGATTGCAAGTGGGATTAGTGCATTTCTTTTTCTTTTTTCTTTTTCTTTTTTTTTTTTGGTGCTTCGGAAAAGTGCATTGGTGCATTTCAATGCTTAAGATATGTGTATATTGATTAGCTTCACATGATGTGATCTATACTTCAAAAAATATGTCGAATTTGTATCGGGTATTTATCGACGTTTGATATCTCGTATGGTATTTTTATATACGTATCGAATACACAAAAAATATACTCAAAATTTTTCTTTTAAATTTTTAGCGTATCCAGACATATCTTGTAGATACTCAAGTCATACCGTAGCTCAATTGAAACCATATTTTTTTTCTACTATAGAGATAAAACTCTTTTCACTAGATTTCTTTTTTATTTTTAGTTTTATACTTAGCATAACTTAAAATTAAACTATAATTTGTAAGTTATTTAATATATTGACATTTAATTTTGATTTATACTTTTACTTTTGGTATTAAATATTAATTATAGGTTGGATCTTAACAAATTAAACCATTTAATTAATTTTTACATTACTCTAAATTAAAAATAAATATTTTTTTTTACAAGTGTATCAAACCGTACCCGTACCCATATTCTATTTTTTTTTTTTATTTTACTATATCAATGTACCCGTATTGTACCGGTATCAATACTCGTATCCGTACCTGTGCTTTCATATATTGTGATGTTCATGTCTTCAAGTAGCTTTCAAGTAAATAGAAGAAAAATATACGTGAAGATGGATTTGTTTTCTCTATTGATGTTGAGAGGGTAATTTGTAAACAAATTGGGCCGAGCTAAGGAAGGGCCTTCTTTGTAAGTTGGGCCGCACAAATGGGCCGGGGTAAAGGGTTGACAAAGCCCGGTCTTAGAGCTAACGAGTTGGACCCAGGTGAAGTTGGACCGGGCTAAGCATCGCGTATAGAAGCGCCGAGCGATGGTCGTCATTGCGTATGGTTCGATCAGTGTCTTCAAGTAGCTTTCAAGTAAATAGAAGAAAAATATACGTGAAGATGGATTTGTTTTCTCTATTGATGTTGAGAGGGTAATTTGTGAACAAATTGGGCCGAGCTAAGGAAGGGCCTTCTTTGTAAGTTGGGCCGCACAAATGGGCCGGGGTAAAGGGTTGACACAGCCCAGTCTTAGAGCTAACGAGTTGGACCCAGGTAAAGTTGGACCGGGCTAAGCATCGCGCATAGAAGCGCCGAGCGAAGGTCGTCATTGTGTATGGTTCGATCAGTCTTAAGTAAATAGCTCGGTTGGAGTATGCCAAACCGAGGTACAAGCGGTGAAGGAAAGACCCGAGCTAGGCAGAGCTCGGTCTAACCTGCCACTTGAGCATGGCAATACTAGTTCGGTCGTTTGGTCATACCACCGAGCTAGACCCATCTCACTTGGTTTATGTAGTGAGGGGGGTGTGAAAGGATAAGCATTATCTTTCAGGAGTGTGATTCCTAAGAGAATTCTACATGGAGGAATAAGAGTCATACTAGGATTGTGCTATGCGGAACCCATAAAAGTTCACAATCTAACCTATGTAGAGGTAACACACAACTTTGATTCTCAAATACATAGAGTCTTTTGTCTATTTGTCTATTTGTCTATTTTGCTGACTTAAGCATCGGAGAGGTATCCGGTACACACCCGCCGGCTAGCTCACTTTTGTGTTTTCAGGGAGTAAAGCGACGACATTTAGAGGAGTGCAGGCTTGATTAACAGGATCATACGAGAAGATTATTTCGTACTTGTACAGATGTTGACTAATCCAGTTGAAATTGAGCATTTGTTAAGATTACGCATATTTTGCTTCAACTCAATTCGTCTTGTTTCAACTAGATTCGCCAGCTTGACAATTATTTTCCTTTATCAATGTTGATGTAAAGAAATGAAGTTTCTTTTATGTGCCATGATGAAAAGGGTTGGGATAAACCGTACACGAGTCATTTTGGGTTCGACCAGTCCTAGTATTTCCCCTACTTAATTGAAATTTGTGATTTACAGATGATTGTAAGTATTTTACTCTACAAAAGCGAGTCCAATGTAACCTTGCCTTAGGAAGGTTCCTCGGCATCTGTGAGTGAGTGAGTGAGTGAGAGGGACAAAGAGAAGGGTTCCTGGTCATGAACTACTGATCTAAACATCACTAAGGGTTGGTTTGGGAAGTGTGTTGACTTTTTTAACTATTTTAGCCTAGACTAAAAAGTTTGGTTTGGAAATGACTTTTTGGCTTTTTGATTTTTTTAATTTTTTTTTGTGAGAGAAGAGTGTAATGATTATGGGTTGGATGTGATGTTTTGTTTGTTGTGGCTAAAATAGCCTATTTTGTCTTTTGTAACTATTTTAGCCACAAACCATCTTGCCAAACGGACCCTAACCAGGTTTCATGGTCCAATGAGCATTTGGAACCTTTCTTTCCTAAAATTAGTTTTCCAAACCATCCTTGTAGTCTGATATTAGGTAGCAAATAAAAAAGACATTTTTTTGATTTTATTAATCTTGAGAAAGTATATGATAGAGTGAATCGGGATATAATCTGGTGGATGTTAGAGCAGAAAATGGTGACAAAATGTTACATTGATATGATTAGGGATATGTATGAAAATGTTGTAACCACTATTAAATCGCTGGCTAGAAAGATTAGTGAATTTTCAATTACTATAGGATTACACAAAGGATTAATCTTAAATCCTTATTTTTTTGCTTTAGTTATGGATGAGTTGACGAAAAACATTCAGGTTGATGTGTCATGATGTATGCTTTTTGCAAATAATATTGTGTTAATGCATGAGACTAGACTAGAGAAAAAGTTGACACTAAATTAGAGACTTGGAAAGAAGCATTTGAATATAAAGTATTTAAGATAAGTAGAACTAAGGTAAAGTACATGAAATGTAATTTTAGTAACAGTAATAATGGAAGCAGAGAAGAATTGAAAATTGAGGACCAAACACTATTTAAAAGTGAACATTTTCGTTATTTAAGATCGATTATCACAACGGCCAGGGAGATTGGAACAGATATTGTCCATAGAATTAAAGCGGGATTGCTTAAGGAGGAGTGCGTCTGGGGTACTATGCGATATTGTATGGGACGAAATGCTAGGCAACTAAGAAATAATATGCAGATAAGATGAGTGTTGTTGAGATGAAGATGCTCAAGTAGATGTGTAGCAAGACTAAAAAAGACAAAGTTAAGAATTAATATATTCGAAAATGAGTAGGAGTAATACCGATAAAAGATAAGTTCAGAGAGAATAGATTGAGATAATTTGGTCATATACAATGGAGACCAACAGAGGCAATAGTAAAGAAATGCGATACAGTGACGGTAGATGAAAATGTTAAGAGAAGAGGCAAATCTATATTGACGTGAACTAGTGTAGTAAATAGATATATGAATTTCTTTAATTTGACTAACGATATGGCCTTGGATAGAATCGAACAGAAAAGAAAAATTCATGTAATTAACCCTATTTGATGGGATTTAAAACTTGATTTGATTTGGTTTGTGGGGTTATTTGCCTATCACAATGAAATTTTGATTTTCAAACATTCAAGTCATACATTTAATAATAAGTAAAAAACACACAGAGAAGGGAAATAAATAAACACCCACATAGCATCTGAATTTATTTTTCTTACAGAGGACCAAAAAGAGTCACATCCAAAGAAACATAAGCCAGGTAACACAATCTCAAATCATCTATCGTCAACCATATGAGATCATATACATTTCCTTTCAAAAGGGATCTGCTAAAACGTAGAGATCAAAAGTGGGGTGGAAACAATACACAAAAAACCACAATGATGCTGAAAGCAAACAAAGAAACTAAATATGCAAAAAACCGCATTTAACCACAAAGCAATCAACTCTCCTACCCAGCTGCCTACTTTTGAAGTGGAGAAGCCAGCAAAAGCCTCTCTACAAACCTTGTGGTTAAATATCTTTCACTCCCACGCGTCTCTTAATCACCCGAGCAGAACCTAGAGATTAGTGCATGAGTGAAACTAAAAGAGTTTGCCTGCCTGTGGTGCTCCACTTCTCATCATTGTGCAGAACTCTTCGTAGTTGATTCTTCCATCCTACAGTGTTTAAAAAAATCAGCATGGAATCAATACCAACCACCAACATGATCCTCTGAGAAGGTTGGAAATTTCAATTCTCAAAACTACTTACATTATCTGTGTCGACCTCTGATATTATTTCTTTTATGGTGGCATCATCGCCCATTCCGTATTGCTTCATGGCAGTTTCCAATTCATCTCTTGTGATAAAGCTGTCAACATCTCATGATGAAACAAACAATATTCAGTATGAAGTCACTTGAAAAACCATACTAATGTCGGGTTTCTCAGATATATTGGCCCTATTTGGTGCAGCTTTTAGAGCTGCTTTTAACTTCTTTTTTTAATAGAAATTTGCATTGACATGTTTGGTGTAGTTTCTATTTATAGCTCACGAGGCAAAAATAGCATAAATAAGCTGGAAAAAAAGCTAATAATTATCTTGAAAGCAAGAGTGGTGTTTTTAACTTCTGCTTTTTTATTATCAAGGTTGTTTGGGAATATCTAAATAAGTGCACTTTTTGACTTTTTACGAAAAGATATACAAAAAAGTAGAAAATGTGATATGACCCAAAAAAGATAAAAGGTGTGCTATTTTAGTGCACCCCAAACAAGCTCCGATTTTCACTATGAGAAAAGCTACAACAAATTATCCTCTATTTTTTAAAGTCAATACTCTTAGAATCTTTGTCCAATTAGGTTATAGAACTTGTTACTTCATTGGAAAAAGTTATGCCTTATAAATTCAAGTAACTCAAAACTGATAGAACACCATGATATTTAACACACAGCCAGTTTGCTCCATGATCAGCATTGTAGCAAATAGCTAGAAGTACAAGAAGTGAATTGGCCAAATATAGGGAAAAAAAACTTGGGTTTTCAAGTGTTTTTATTTTTCTAAAGCTAACATTATCGTCATTGGACTACCATGGCATCTAAAAGTGTGCACACCTGTTGTATTAAATGGTATTGTTGATTTTCCAAAGAATTCATAAGATGAAACCACATTAAAAACAGGGAACCCAATTGTATGTCTGTAATGCAGAGACAATATGACTATTATTATCTTCATGAAAAATATATGGACTCACCCACTGCTATCCGTGTCAAAATACTGAAATGCTTTATATAGATGCTCATCTTTTTCTAGTTTGTGTCTATGCATGGTTGCGGTAATAAATTCAAGGTAGTCAATCGTTCCATTTCCATCCACATCAGCCTGCAATGTAGGACAATATCATATTTACATTTTAGAATGCTGTTGAGATGCAAAGAATGAGGAAAAAAAATTAAGGGACCTTATTCTTGAAGGTTTCAAGGGACCTTATTCTTGAAGGTTTTACAACTTACAGCTTCCATGAGTTGCTTGACTTCAGTCTCCGACAACTTTGACCCCAGCCGAGCCAATCCTGTCTTCAGTTCCTCATAGGTGATAGTGCCACTCTTGTCTGTGTCAATGTTTCTGAACATTTCTTTAAGACCTTTGATTTCATCTTCTGATAGATTTTCAGCAATGACCTAGGAGAGTTTTTCAAATCCATCAAGATACTTAGAACATTAAATGTAGAACCTCCTTCATGTAATTTCAAAAATAAAACTTAGCAATTTTCAACTATGTAACAAAAACCCTGAAAGTTCAGTTAATTGTAAAAACACAACCCTCAATCATAACAGTTTCCAGTGACATCAGTTTAGTGAACAGAAAATTTTAGAAAGGCCAGTGACTACTACAACATTCATACACATGGCAATTGAAGGTTTAGTGCAAAATTAAACCCATTTGTCTACCATATTTGCAATAAATAACTTGAACAGAAGCACTGATGCAATGAATTGTCCATAGCTTGGCAGTGTGCCTATTCTTTTATAGCAGGATAAGATGAATCATAATTTCTAAGGGAAGAGTTCTCAATATAAACCCAATTTGTGCCCATTGGGACTCTGTCACATGAACTCTTTACTCTCCTAAATGTGAACCTGTCTTGGACAGTAAACACTTAGGGTATAAGATGTGCGTCCAACATGTCCACTTGATCTTGCATCTAGTAATCATGTCTTAGTAACTGAACTCACTATATGACAATGCATAAAATGTTCTCTACTTTGCAAATACCATTTTACTCTAGAAAAAGGAAAAAAAAGAAAAAAAAAGAAATATGAATATCTGGTTATATTATGGTGTCCTTGGATCGGACATAAGAATTAGAAGAACAAGACGTTTAGACACATACTCGTGCCCAAATCTCATACCTGAGTCCATGTAATGTAGCTGTAGGATATGGATAACTCCAGCAAAGACAGTAACGATAATATTTTCACAAGTATAAACTGGATATTGGGACTACTGCAGTAAATAACTAGTTACAAGATACATAAAGTAGTTTGAGGCAGAAATGATAACTTCTCGGAGAATTTTTTTTTTTTCTTTCTTTCCATTTCAAAAAATAAATTAAAAACAATGATCATTTAAAAATATATATATATATATATATATATATAAAAGAAGTCGGTAACTTAAACCAACCAATGTGCCGAGGATTGGTTTGATCCAAATTGAGGGTGGAAAATCAACAGAGGAAGACCAAGGAAAACATGGTTGACACGATAAGCATCGACAAAATTGCTTCAGAATTAGCAGAGGGTATGGCTTCTAATAGAGCAAACCGGAGAAAATGGATCCTTGTAGCTGACCCCAAATAATTAAGACAAAAGCTTGTTGAGTTGAGTTATGGAAAAGAACTCAAGCATCCATAGGAAGGACTATGACATTAAAATTACATAATTTTTTTGTATTGCTAGCAAGATTAGAAAATATCATAAAATGATCCCTTGATACATTTGACAGTTAGTGACAATAGTTTGGGACAAATGTATTCACAGACAGCTTCTGAGAAGCATCGCAAGAGGTTCCAATCACCTTGCATATCTGCCATATCTATTGAATTGACAGAGAGGGTGACTTCTATACATTACACATTCCTTAATTACAATTTACATGCATAATCTTAGCTTTCAAAGGGACTTGAGTCACTTGACAACACAGTTTTCCAGGCATGGCATTAATATTTACTTATTTTATATGAAAGAAGAATAAAATAGCCAACCTTCAATGCAAGTTTCTTGAGCTTATTCATTGCCCTGAATTGCTTCATTCTAGAGAGTACTGCACTATCTAGTGGCTTGTCTGATGCTTCTCCATCTTCTCGAATCCATGGGTGCTCTTCCAACCATAAAGTATATTTAAAAAAATGTTAAGTCATATGCACACATGCAGAATATATAGAAAGTTAGTACTAGGAAACTATTTCAATGATTTACTCACGGATAACATCCAAATGATACTACAAGAACAGTATAATACCACATATTTTACATTACATAAGATCTCCAACTTTTGGAATTTGATATGGTCTGAAATTATGAAATCAATACATGCCACTTTAAGAGAAACTCTTTTATTGATAAGTAAGATGTGTGATGAGAAAATCACTCAACAAATTGCCACTTACCTCTCCCACTACTGTGGCATGAGACACAACTCTCACTTGCTCTAATTTTTACCACCTTAAAAGTGCAATTATTTGGAGTAATTTCCACTTAAATGCAATTTTCCCAAAAAATATAATAATAATAATTTGGCCTTTCAGTTAATGCCTTGAACTTTGGTGAAATCACTTCTTGTCAAGGACTCAAGGAGAAGATGCTCTCCCTCATTGAATGTAAAATGAGTGCATCCAAAGGAAATTATTTAAGGTGCATTCTTCTTGGAGGTGAAGGTGCATACCTTCCTTTCAATGCCTAATTTTCTGTTTAACAGCTTCTTCTCTGACGGCCCATCCCTCACAATTTCCTCATTTCAGCAATTTATGGGGCAATATCATTGGAAAGCATAATTTATTGTGGGAAAATAAGTAGGATTTAGATGCCTTAATTACACAGGTAGCTATGGCGTTGGTTATGATGTTTACGAAATGGGCAAAAATACTTTTTGAAACTGACGGAACAGATTTTTGAGGAAATTGACTTCATATATTTAGAAGCAGACAATAATCAGAACAAAATTTATTTCTTCTCTTTTTGTTTTTCCTTTTTTTCCCTGGTGAGACTAATACCCGTGGAGTCAAGGCTAGGCCAAAGGACGAGTAGAACCTGGGACCTCTAATTTATCCCAGAACCACAGACCAACTCAGGCAACAAAACCAAAAGTCAATTAGACATAGTTATCATTTAGCAAAGAAAGAAAACCAGAGTCATGTACCAAGAACTTGGGCAGAAGTAATCCTCTTTTTGGGGTCCTGTGTCAGCATCTTCCGAACAAGGCTTTTGGCACTGTATGATATAGATGGCCATGGTGGGCTTTCGAAGTCAATTTGTCCCTCCAGTATGGCATCAAATATTCCCTTCTCGGTTTCTGAAATACAAGCCAAGTGAAATATCTAACTCTATGTTTTTATCCAAAATTCATGGAAGAAAAACCTTAGCAATAGCAAGAAAACACAAGATAATCCCAATAACTGTTTGTCTTTACCAGCCCAAAATGGGGGCACACCACTGAGAAGAATATACAAAATAACTCCTGCACTCCAAGTATCTATTTCCTTTCCATAACTGCGCCGCAACACTTCAGGAGCAACATAGTATGCACTACCAACCATGTCACGGTACACCTTTCCTGACATTAGTTTCAAAAAAAAAAATGTCAATAGCCATTAGATTTTACATACTAGAGAAAGCTGTGTTACCTAAAGGCAAAAGTTAACTACACAAAAAAATCAAAAAAAGAAAAAGTCAACCAGTTGAAGACAGTAGGCACTGTACATTTTATCTATGAGATGTAAATGATAGATCCTCATATACAAATCCTCATTAGAAGTTCACAGAAAGTGAAGAAACCAAGTGTTTCTTAATGCTTATTAATTTAAACAACAAAGATGAACATGAAAAGAAAGCCAGCAAACTGTCTCAATTAAAAATGAAATGCCTTTCCTGCTGGTGCTTATGAGAAATTTTGATGCTATGCTTCCAAGCGCCATTGCAAGAGAGAACTTTGGATTTTGAAAGATAGAAGGTTGAAAAGGGTAATAATACGTTCAAGCAATGTTGTAAATCTTAACTTGACAATATCTCAACAATTTAGACACTATGTTTTTATACAAGTTAGTTAGTTATACTGACATTTAATTCATTTTAAACACAGTGTGGGTCTTTTTACATGTGTATACATACATACATACATATATATATATAATTAAAAAAAAACATGCTAAATAACGTGAATCTTCACTATTTTAGCAAAATGATTCATGATTAGATTCGTGATTTGACAACAATGGTATTAAGGATGTTAATGAACTCGAATGAGCTCAATATGTGTGTTCAAGTGATCCCAAGTTCAGCTTAGTTGTTTGAACAATAACCCAAATGTAAAGTAGAAATAAGAGAAAAAAGTTCAAAATTAGAAAGTATTCAAGCACGACTAAAAAGCCTAATGCATAGATCTTACACTATTCAACCTCATGCATATATATTTTATTTCATATTATTTTATTGTGAACATAGCAATCCAAGTTGGGTCATGCGCTCAAGCACAGCTCATCAATTAATCGAGCTCAAAAATAAAACTCAAACTCTTGTACGAGTCGAACATGAGAGGTCCATGAACAACTTGGTTCATTTGAAGCAAATATTTGTGACCAGCTCAAGTCAGACAAGAACTCTTTGCCCCTAGAGATAAATCATTTAACCTTATCCATGTAGTCCATATTTGATCCATCTCACTATTGCATATCCCAGCGGCAATCCATGATCAAATTCATTGAGGACTCACAACAGTATCCATGTGCAATTGGTCACATGTCTAGCCCTCCACAATCAAGATGCCGTGAACAGCTAGATGAGTTTTTTTTTTTTTTTCCTTGATCAACAACATAAGTAATTTTATTAAGAAAAAAACAGAACAATACAGAGGAGGACAAGGTGTCCTCAGAGATCCAACCTAAAGAACTAAGGAAAAATCACACACACACAAAAAATAAAAAAATAAAAAAATAAAACACAAAGACAAGAAATTATGTAACAAACTGCCAACCAATCTCTAGAGATCAAGAAAAGCGAAATCCCTTTAAATAGTGGAGACACCGAACCCAAAAAGATGCCAAACTTTGAACTTTCTCCCACATAGAATTCACATCCCCTTATTTGTCTTAAAAAATCCTTGCATTTCTTTCCAACCAAATTAGTCAAAAGATCGCGTACACCGCAAAAAGCCACAGTGGTTTTTTGCACAGCAGTTTAGCCCTCTCATTGCAACCTTATCCTTGCAAATTGATAAGCAACACGTGAAAACATGCAAATGGAGCCACACACAAAACCTCCACCATCCGACAAAGTCTATGCCACAAACTCAATGCCACAAGGCAAATGTAAGAAAAGCTGATTCAAAGATTCCTCGCTTTCTTACACATGATGCATTATTGAGGACAAAGAAAGCGACTGGGCCTTCTCTTTTGAAAGGTATTGTTTGTCAAAATGCTTTCATGAGCCAATGACCACAAAAAGATCTTCACCTTGAGAAGCACAACAAATTTTCAAATTTTCTTGCACAACACAAAAGAAGACACTCGGTTTGTCAAACAATTTTGTCAAAGAAGGATTTACATGTAAAGTCACCTGAAGGACGAATGGACCAAATCCTTTTATCACTCATATTTGGATTCAAAGAAAAAAGGTCAATCTGAGACAGCAAAGAGGACAACTCACTTGTTTCCTGATATTAAGATTCCTCAAAAAGTTAAAATTCCAAGAGATTGGTGCTACAAGGGAAGCAATGGAAGAGTTATGAGAACGAGCTACTCTATACAAATGCAAAAAGGCCACATCAAAGGAAGAATCACCCACCCAAAGATCCTCCCAAAATCGAACAATAACCCCATTACTCACCCTCACAAAGAGAAATCTAAACCACGTTGGAAGAATCTAAGAGATGGATTTCCAAGGAGATCGTCCATTACCCCTAATAACCACCAGAGTATCTCTGCCATTAACTTGAACCCCATATTTGCTCTTACTAATGGAATGCCATAACGAATTGCATTCAATATGGGGAATCTCCATAACCAATTACCAAGCAAGGCAATGTTCCTAGGCACAATATTACCAATGGTTAATCCCCTTTTTTCCTTAGGAAGTGAGACTCTCCCTAATGGTCCTTCTTGCCCTCATCATTCCCTTTCCAAAAAAAATTTCTCATCAACTTCTCAATCTTCTTTGCAATCCTAACTAGAATTTCAAAGATAGACAAAAAGTAGACTGGGGTTCCACTCAAAATCACCTAAACCAAAGTATATCTCCCCCATTTGATAAAAACGCTCTCCTCCAACCTTCCAACCTTCTCTTAATTTTTTCTAAAACCAAAGCCCAAAAAAATTCATTCTTAGGTTACCCCCGAACGGAAGCCCCAAATACCTAAACAAAAGACTTCAGTAGAACACCCTAAAATTTCCACCACCCTTTGAATTTTGTTTTGTTGCATGTTAGTGCCTGCAACACTTGTTTTATTCAAATTAACCTTGAGCCTCAAAACAAACTCAAAAATTTTCAACAATGATAGAAAAAAACCTACCTTATTGTCTTCACCCGAAGAACACAACATAATGTTATCAGCATATTGTAGATGAGACACACAAACCAATTCCCTTCCTACCTCAAAACCACCCACAAAACAAAACTCCCTAGCCCTGTCTACCAATCTTCCCAACACATCGGCAACCAAGTTCCATAGCATCCTAAAGGTCGTAGATCTTCCTCTTATTAACGTCCATGCATATCAAAGTTCTTCATTTTTATTTTACGCTAATTTTAATTTTTATGATTCTTGAAAGCTTACTACTAGTAATTAGAAGAATACTAATCAAATGAAATGAGGTATCATGCTCAACTCTATGAAGGTATCGATACTGAACTAAAACAAGAAGCTTAGTTTCCAAGAAATTAAATTGTTCGGTATTTGTTCGCTAACTTTGCACGCTTGAGAAGGGCCGTGTTAAGACTCAAACAGTCGCACATTAGTCAGACCCAAGTAAAGTTAGACACATATTCATTCTTGCAAACAAAACGTGATCAACATGATTATAGCGATGGAAAAAAAAGAGTCCTTCCTATTTAAAGCTTATCCAAGCTGAACAAATCAAGTGAGACTTATGTTAGGACAAGGATTGAACAATTACGATAATGCTTGTGTACATTCATCTATTCTAAGCAAAGGTGTTATATTGCTATGTTAATAAGTGGTAAGTGCACATACTATTATCGAGTCGCCCAATGTTATTAAAGGCACGCCTAGGCCTAAGTCCCATCCAGGCCCAAGGTTTGCACCTTGCAGTATTCCAAACCAAGCGACTTCGATAAGGTGTCTAACTAGTCCAAGGCACAATAAGGCCCAAGACTTGTGTCTTGAGGGCTTTTTTTGTTATTGCTTTAATTGGTTTTGTTTAAAATCTGACCATTGATTTAATATGGTGAAGCTACAGAAGATCTCTACTCTTATAACAGATGCCAATACATTGGCCATTCAATCCCAAATCAGTGATAAAAAAAAATTAACCCTAATTCCTTATCCCCGAAGAACACTAAAAGTTTAATATTTTATTTTGTTTATGTTGAACCCTAAATTATTTACTTCTATTAAATTTTTTTTTCCCCCCCTACAAGGTGCGCCTCGCCTTGCAGCTTGAGCCTAGGCCCAGGAGACCTTGGTGCCTCAGTGCACCTATCGCCTTTAATAACACAGTTACCGACTTCCATGTTGTTATGCATCAGAAAAACTATACTTTGTATTTTGAGGTTGTGAAGTGTGTGCACACACATTGCAAGTATTAACCAAATCATTCAAAGGTTTCATGAATAACCAATTTCTAATGAATCAATGAACACATTAAACTTATAAGTTCTCAAATTAAATTCATATAATTGTAAACATAAAAAGGACAAGAAACTTACCTTCTTCAATGAAGACAGACAGTCCAAAATCAATTGCCTTGAGCATTGCCCCTTCATCCTTGCTTGATAACAAAAAATTCTCAGGTTTGAGATCCCTATGCATCACACCCATAAAATGGCAAATGTGAACAAAATTCACAATAGACCTACAAATTGCCGCTGCAGCTCTCTCAGAATAGTGGCCCTGAGCGGTAATTAGATCAAATAGCTCCCCACCGGTGCAAAGCTCCATCACGACATGCACCGAATGCCGATCCTCATAGGCACCTTTAAACTCCACAATATTGGGTTGCCCACTCAAATGCTGCATAATCTGAATCTCTCTTTTCACATCATCTTCGTCATTTTTACTGCGGAGTTTTCTCTTCAATATTGACTTGCAAGCATAAGTGTGTCTAGTTGAATTCTCAGTACAAAGATAAGTCACTCCAAATTGACCCCTACCCAGTTCTTTCCCAAGTGTGTAGTGTAGCTTAATGTCTTCAAATGGCTTACCCAGTATGGTCTCTGTGTCCGACCTATGAACATTCTTCAATGGAGAAGGGACTAGTGGCTTTGGCTTTGGCTTTGGCTTTGGCTGTGGCTGTGGCTGTGGCTGTGGCTGTGACCGGTGGTGTCTTTCTGGAGGGGGCTGAATGTATTCAGTGGATGGCTTTTGATAGCTCTGGTGAACAATTGGTTGTTGTTGGTAGCTTTGGTGATGCCCAGTACCACTACCTCTTCCTGATCTATACCCATTAACACCTGTTTCTGAAACATTTTTCTTGCTGATACAACCACCCATTTTTGCAATCTATCTCTTCAACAAAACCCAGATCAGAAAAGAGGGTATACACAGATGATTTTCTTGTAAAAGACCCAACTGGGTAATTGAGATTTGTGGGATGGTTCAGAATAAATTACCCAAAACAAGGAATTCAACTTCGTAGACAAGGAAAGAAAGACAAGAAATAGTGAATGAAAACCAACAAGATTACCTATTTAAGCAAATCCCAGATCAGAAATAAGTGATTGAATCTAAACGTTTGACAGAGAGAGAGAGAGAGAGAGAGAGAATTGATCCAAATATATTCAGATCAGAAAGTTAGAGAACATGTTTGTTTTTGTTACAAATAGGTAAAGCGGTATCAAAGTCTTCTGAAGCTCAGTCTTGGCAAGGTAAGAAGAAAAAGAGGCTCGCACTTTTGGGTTATAGATAGACAGGACCGAAGAATTTTAATGAATCAATGAACATACCTAAAATTATGGCTTTGTTGGTTTGTCTGCTGATAGACAAATTTTGGGAAGAAATTCCAAAAATTTATTTGGTTGGAAAATTTAAAAAAATAAAAAATTATAATTATTTTTATTTGTCTTTCACATTAATCAAATTTTTTTTTTTTCTCTTAGCTTGGCCTCTCACAACTTATATATTAATCAATTATTTTTTTTCACACTCATCTTTTTAACTAACAAAAAAAAAATAAAAAAATTATCCCAAATTGTAAAACTCTAAAACTATTTTTAAAACATCCAATCACATAAATTTTTAAATTTTACAAACTCTTTTTAAAAAATTATTTTTCAAAATTATTTCACAAATACAAACTAGACACAGCTAATATGTCTATAGGAATGTAAAATTATCCGGCCTCATTATATTTGTTTTAATTCGATTTTGATAAAAGACATTTGGAAAAATATTGATAGAGTAGGGTAAATTATAGAGATAGGAGATCCAAACTACATTAGAATAAAGTATAAAATTATATTAGTAAAATAGTTGAGTTTAAAATTAAAAATTTGCACGCAAAACTCGGAACAGCGCAACCTATTGTCATCCGTAACTATAACTGGAGGCTGGTCTTTGGATGTGGTGGACTCATTTTGGGGTTCACCTTGATTATTCGAATTATTTATTTTGTAAGATGTGACAAAATATAATTTATATAAAAAATTATATTGATTATAGATCAGTAATTATATGTTTGGATTACATTTATCTTATAAAATGAACGACAAATATAATTTTGAGAATAAATTGTTTACATATTTTTTTAAGACAAATGTAATTCAATAACTTATTTACTAATTTCTGATCAACTTAATTTTTTTTACATGGATATATTTTTTTTGGCAATTCTTAAAATTGAAATGTTCGAATCACTCAAAATAGGCCCACCAAACTCAAAAACACCTCTCGAGATGGTGGAGTTGCTCTAAGTTCTAAATTCAATTATCTTAAGACGCCAATTTGATGGGTTATGGGAAAGATCAAATTGGCTTTGTTTTCCTTTTCTTTTTTTGTCTAGTTCTTTGATTTGCAGGTTATGTTTATGTGTTTTAATTGGGTTTTGAGTAAAATTTCTATGAATTTTTGAGGTGGTGTTACCTATTTCCTTGAATGTAGATGATGTTTAGTTTGGTGACAACTGTTATCTCTAGTTGAAGAATTGATAAAGAAGTTCAATTGTTTTGATTTTTGTGAAATCCCATTTGTGTAGCTAGACTGTTTGATAGATTGATTTGGGTGTGAGTATCCATAATAGCATTTTTTGTTGGAGAATTGATAAAGAAGTTCAACTGTTTTTCTAGGTTTTACTTCATATTTGATATTTGCAAAAGGTATGAAATGTTAAAACCTGCAAGGATTAGTATCTTGGAGTTTTTTTTCCCCCATTTTCCAGTGTTATTCCTTAATATATTAGCTTCATAATTTTTGTAAAGAAAAGAAATCTTTTCATCTTCTGACAGCATTATCTGAATTCCAAAAATAAAACATGAATCTTTTGCTTTAGTATAATTTTTGGCTTCATTGAACATATTCTAATTGTAATTCCATCCAAGATTTAAACCGTTTTGTACATTGTCAAACGAGCATGCAAAAGAATGAAGCATGTGTTGGCCTTACCACCACTTGACATTGTAAGGATTGTACATGGTTAATAATCTCATCCAGCACCATAGCTGTACCCGAAATCTGAAGAGCAATCATTTCTCAGTACTGAGATGAAGGTGCTTAAGCAACTTGAAACATTTCAATCAGTTCAATTTTTATGTGAATTATCAATGCATTGAAACTGATTTCAAATAAACACCTGATTTTTTTCAACTTTTTCTAATCTAAAAAGATGAAACATATAGAGTGGACACAACAAGTTTTTTGTCATGCTTCCAAAGGTCGGCTTCTTGAATAGAGAAAGGACAGAACTTCCCTTAGTTGAGCAGTTTTGATTATACCTTATGCAATTGAAATTTGCATGTAGATTCTACCTTATGTAAAGCCTTGTATATGTACAATTGATTGCCAAAAAAATCTGGAGTACCATTATGTGGAGGCGAATTAGAGTTGAAAGCTTTCATGTTGATGACCTTTCAACCACACAGATCAAGCATACTTTCAAATCTTGAAAACATTATGATCAGTGGTCCCAGGGGAGAAGACAGTGGCTTTGCTTTTTCACTCACCCAAACATAATAGTCAGAAAACACAATTATTTCTTTTCCTTTCTTACCTATATAAGATACCACAATATAGATTTTTTTTTTTTTTGCTTTCATCATCCATCAATTCTATTGTGTGTACTGTGTGATGTTCTAGTTTTGAACTATGTTTCACTTTGCATATAGGGAATCTATGAGATCTCATTTTTATTTACAATTTTTCATATCCTGGGTTAGAACAGCAGCAGCAGAGTAGCAGTAGCTTTGTGGCAGGGTCTGGTGTGTTTCAGCAGTGAATCTTATAATAATTAAACATCTTCATTCATCCAAATGAAATTCTTATTTCAAAAAATAAAAATATAACACAACCTATTATGGTTATTATTTTGGAATTTTCCACTCCAATTTTATTTGAATTTGCATGATTTGATTAGAGAGTTGGTTGCAACTATCATTGAATCTTTTTTCTTTGAATTTACATGATCTCCATTTATTATCTAAAATTATCATTGAGTCGTTTTCAACAAAACAACTAGCGGTTTTAATTTTTTTTTGGGTAGCCTTTAGAAGAAATTTTTTTTATTAATTAAATGAGTTGATAAACAAAGTGTTACATTACATATAAACATAGCTAGTTTTGCTAATAAGAATTTTTTTTTATTATTTTATTTTATTTTTATGGGAGAAAATTGTCGATGAATTCAGTTTAGCAATTGTATAAAAGCATTAGATTTAGTGGATATTTTTTGTTGGTGAAAGTTCTACCATTACTGAAATAGTTTGGTGAAAAGTCCTTTGTTTCTTTTGAATGACATTTTATTTTCAATTTTACCCATTAATTTATCTATTGACTTTTTTTGACTATCTGTTGAAATTATTTTCTATCTGTTCAAAATTTTTTGACTATATATTCAAATTTATATCTATTTGTTGAATTTTTTTCTTTATCTGTTCAATTTTTTCTTATCTGTTCAAATTTTGTGGATTTCTCTCTCTAATTTTTCCTATCTGTTGAAATTCTTGTGCTAATTTTTCTTTGTTGAAATCTATTTTTATCTATTCAATTTTTTGAATAAACAAATCATTGGCATAACCTATCCCATGTCAATTTTTTATCTGTTGAAAATCTAGCAAATAATCAATGAAGTAACATTACACAACAAAATTACAATTAATTCCCTATCTATGTTAAATATATATATATATATATATATTGAATAAATCTACACTTGTTATGCTCCTATCAAACTAAAGAAGCAATCAGTGTGTTTAGTTTGAGTTTTTTGAATTAAGGTTTTTGAAAATTGAATTTTTTGATTTTCGTATTTTTTGTTTTTAGTGAATATTTTTATAATTTTAAACATTTTTTTTACTTTTTTAGATGCACCTTACTTAAATGTATCTAAAAAGTAAAAAAATTGTGAAAAAATATTTTTAAAAATTAATAAATACATAAAAATACAAAAAAATGTACTGAATTCTCGTTTTTTTTTTGTATTTTTGGTATTTAATGAATTTTTAAAAGGTTTTTTTCAAATTTTTTTTACTTTTTAAGTATATTTATGTTAGGTATGTCTAAAAATTAAAAAAATTACTCAAAATATTAAAAAAATTCAATAAAAACAAAAAAAACACGAAAAATAAGAAAGTAGAATTTTCTGAAAAGTGTTTTTGAAAAATGATAACCAAGCATAGTGAATCTTGTTCTTATCCGTTCAAACAAAACACAGATTCGAATCCAAGCACATATCCAAATCCAACCTAAGCATAATGGTAGAGGAAAAAATAAATCTGTGTTCTTATGTGTTCAACTTGAACATTCTGTGTTCAAACAAAACAGAAAACACAAAAGAAAACCATATATGTTTGAACAAAACACAAAACACAAAGACAAATCAACTGTAGGCCATCATCAATCTTAAAACATTAACAAAATATAGATTGAACACATCCACACACTAGATTTAACACAAATATTCAACAAATCTGTTAAGAATTTAGTTGAGTCTTGTTCTATATTTTTGGCATTGACCACTTCTTTAGGAACTGAATAAGTCTGCTGTAGACTTGGTAGAATTTAAGTTAGTTCCTTCTTTCATGTTGAGTCAGTTCCGTATTTTGAGGAAATTCAGTTGTGTAAATTTCTATTTAAACAAACATCAGTGCAATGAATAAACTAAGACTTTTGATCTCTATGTTACTGTGAGTTTAACATTGCGGTATCAGAACTTCCAAGAAATTCTCCACAGAAGCAGCAGTCTTCTTACTTGCAGTAGCAATCATTCATGGCTGACAAGGTAGTCGATAACTATGTCCAGCCGGCTATTCCTCGCTTCGATGGTCATTATGATCACTGGAGCATGTTGATGGAGAATTTTCTAAGATCCAAAGAATATTGGACTCTCGTGGTAACCGGTATTGTGGAACCGAAAAGTGGAGTAGTTTTGTCAGAAGCACAACAGAAGAGACTCGATGAATAGAGGCTGAAGGATCTCAAGGTGAAAAACTACTTATTTCAGGCCATTGATCGTACAATTCTGGAGACCATTCTCCAGAAAGAAACTTCCAAGCAGATATGGGACTCACTGAAGAAGAAATATGAAGGCACATCGAAGGTCAAGCGCTCCCAACTCCAAACACTTCGCCGAGAATTCGAGACCCTTCAAATGAAATCTAGTGAGAGTGTTTCAGATTATTTTTCAAGAACAATGGCGATTGCAAATAAGATGCAGATCCATGGTGACCCGATGCAAGATGTTACCATCGTGGAAAAGATTCTTCGCTCCTTGACTATGAAATTTGATTACATAGTCTGTTCCATTGAGGAGTCCAAGGACATTGATGAACTATCGGTTGATGAGTTGCAGAGTTCGTTGCAGGTCCATGAGCAAAAACTCCACCAAAGGATCACTGAGGAGCAAGCCTTGAAGGTCTCAACAAATGGTGAATCTTCAGCAGCAAGAGGTCGAGGCCGAGGCCGAGGTCAAAGACGAGGAAAAGGCAGAATAGATGATCAAGCTTTTGAATTCAAAGGAAGAGGCCACAGACGCAGCGCTGATTATGCTAAAGCCCAAGAATCAAAGTTCTTCGACAAATCAAATGTTGAGTGCTTCAGATGCCACAGGTATGGTCATTTTCGTTCTGAATGCCATACAAAATTACCTAACGAGAAATGAGGAACATCAAATTTTGCAGAAAAAGAAGATGATATTACTCTTCTTATGGCTTGCAATACCATGGAAGAAACTCTTCCAAACATGTGGTACTTGGACACCGGATCAAGTAACCATATGTGCGGAGACAAGTCCATGTTCTCTGAGTTAGATGAATCTTTTAATAGCTCTGTAAAATTTGGTGATGATTCTAGATTATCTGTTATGGGAAAGGGAAAAATTAGCCTCCAAAATTCAAAACATTATCTTTCAAATGTGTTTTATGTTCCTGGTTTGAAGAACAATTTGTTAAGTGGGTATATAAAACAAAGCTGAATACACAAAGCAAAATTGAAAAATACAAAGCTCGTCTGGTCGCTAAAGGATATGAACAACAGCTTGGAATCGACTACAACGAAGTTTTTGCTCCAGTTGCAAGGCATGATACCATTAGATTGGTAATTGCATTAGCAGCACAAAACTCATGGCCTATATTTCAATTGGATGTTAAATCAGCATTTCTTCATAGAGATTTGCAAGAAGAGGTATACGTTGATCAACCTCCAGGTTATGTATGTCAAGGTAATGAGACTAAGGTGTATAAGTTAAGAAAGGCTTTATATGGATTGAAACAAGCTCCCCGAGCTTGGTATAGTCGTATAGAAGCATATTTCTTAAAGTCAGGCTTTCAAAAGTGCCCATATAAGCCTACTTTATTCATAAAATCAGACTCTGATGGCAAGTTACTGATTGCATGCTTATATGTGGATGACACTACTAAAGAAAGGACCTTTTGAGTCGGTTTTTTGAGTCGGCAAATTTTACCGTCGCAAAAGGTAGTCTTTTTGAGATGGCACAGAGTTACCGACGCAAATACCAAACCTTTAGCGTCGGCACCGTTGGCCGACACAAAAAATTAATATTTGATAGCATTACTTGAGTCGATTGAATTTACCGACTCAAAAGATCGACCTTTTGCGTCGGCATAGACCTTTTGCGTCGGCAAATTTGTGCCGACGCAAAAAAATAGACCTTTTTGTGTCAGCAATTGATGCCGTAGCAAAAAAAATAAAATTTTATAGCCAAGATATATATATTTACTTGATTATATTTAATAAATATATTTATTTATACATATACTTTTATATTAATATTGAGTGTATATACTATAAATAATAAATATCTCAGTTAATATCTGAAAGAGGTAGAGTGGTAAAGTGGACTTAGTGCGGTGACTTTGGGTCAAATCTGCCGGTCAAATCTTCCAAATGAGGTGGGTTCGAAACTTGGGAGCCTCAATGAGAAAATTATGAGTTAAATTTTTTAAAACATTGAACCACTTTTTAAGTCGGCAATCTACCGTCTCAAAAAATTAAAACTTTTTGCGTCGGCAGATTGCCGACTCAAAAACCTTTTGCGACCCCACCATTTTCGACCCTTGAGTTGCCGTCGAAACGCCGTCGCAAAAAGTTTTTGCGTCGGCAAATGTGCAATTTGCGACGGCACTCTACCGACTCAAAAGCCTTGTTTTCTAGTAGTGTGATTTGATCTACACCGAAAATGATAGTGCCATGTTTGATGCATTCAAGTCATCGATGATGAAAGAATTTGCAATGACTGATCTTGGCATGCTACACTACTTCCTTGGCATAGAAGTAATTCAATCTTCTGATGCTATTTTTCTCTCGCAGCGAAAATATGCTCAAGACATTTTGGCCAAGTTTCAGCTGCAACATTGCAACTCAGTTGGTACACCAATTGATCTTGGTTTGAAGCTAACTAAAGATCCTGAAGGAAAGAAGATTGATAACATTCTATACAAGCAAATGGTTGGAAGTTTAATGTACTTGACAACAACCAGGCCTGATATAATGCATGGAGTTAGTCTGATCAGTCGATACATGGAACACCCTATAGAGTTGCATCTCCTCGCTGCCAAGAGAATTTTCCGATACTTGAAGGGAACAACTGATTTTGGCATATTGTACAAGAAAGGAGAACAATCTGGTCTAATTGGTTTCACTGATAGCGATTATGCTGGTGATTCCAATGATAGGAAAAGTACATCCGGTTACATTTTTATGATGGGCTCAGGTGTGATCTCATGGTCATCAAGAAAACAGCCTATTGTCACTTTGTCCACCACTGAAGCAGAGTTTGTTGCTGCAGCTTCGTGTGCCTGTCAAGCTATCTGGTTGAGAAGGTTACTTGAAACACTACAGCATCCTCACAATGGTTCCACTCTCATTTACTGCGATAACAGTTCAACGATCAAGCTTTCAAAGAATCCTGTTCTTCATGGCAGAAGCAAGCATATCGATGTACGATATCACTTCTTACGTGATCTAGTCAAGGATGGAACTCTAGATCTGAAGCATTGCAGAAGTGAGGATCAGCTCGCAGATATTCTGACTAAACCCCTCAAATTACCTGCTTTCTTGAAGCTACGACATCTACATGGAGTGTGTTCTGTAGTTAATTCTGATGTGAAATAACCCACTAAATTGAATGTTTGCAGTACACTCAATTTAAGGGGTGGTGTTAAGAATTTAGTTGAGTCTTGTCCTATATTTTTGGCATTGACCACTTCTTTAGAAACTAAATAAGTCTGCTGTAGACTTGGTAGAATTTAAGTTAGTTCCTTCTTTCATGTTGAGTCAGTTCCATATTTTGAGGAAATTCAGTTGTGTAAATTTCTATTTAAACAAACATCAGTGCAATGAATAAACTAAGACTTTTGATCTCTATGTTACTGTAAAAAATAAATAAATAAATAAATATAATAATAATAATAATAATAATAATAATAATAATAATAATAATAATAAAAAATACAAATCTAGCACTATTCAATAGATCATCTTCTTCATCTTCATCAACAACCGATCTAACACAGTTCTAAGTTCAAATCTAAAAAAAAAAAAAATCTAAAACATAGAGAGAAAGGAACAACGATATTGTTAGAGAGAGAGAGAGAGAGAGAGAGGAAGAGACCATAAACCTTAAAACCCTAACAATGTCAATACCAAAGGCACAGACCGGAAGGAACTACGTCAAGCTGCAAAGTCCTTAGCGAAATTATGGTGGACATCTTGTCGCGAGTCCTTATGAAGTCCATTTATTGATTTAGGTGCGTGTGCAAATCCTGGCATAACCACACCACCCTCCTCATCCAAAGCCGTCATGACTCTTATTTCGATCAACTCAGTAGTGACGAAGTAGTCAACAATAAAGACAGAGGTGAGGCGACAGAGGTGAGGTGACAGAGGCAATCGGCGGCAGAAGAAGTGGCAAGACAACAGCGGTAATCGACGACAAAGGCGATGGAGGCGATTGACTACGTCAATGGGGAGAGAGAGAGAGAGAGAGAGAGAGGTTGCTAGGGTTTTTGGTTTGGAAACAATATATATATATATATATATATATTAGGTAATTTGGTCATTTTGTAGGAAGTTGTCCTTACGAGCAAAGCATTTTAGAGGGTGAACCTTTAAATAAAGAAAATTCAGAATTGGAGACTATGCGCCATTTTTATGGAAATACGATTAGAAATGCACACTAGTATATCTCTCAATACACATCATTTGTTTGTTTTTTTTTTTTTTTTATTCTGATTATATATTCCTTAATCAAATTACTCTTTTGGACATAACCTAAAATTTAGGGATGGTTTGGGATAATCTAAATAAGTACACTTTTTGAATTTTTATGAAATATGGGTTGGGTATGGGTTGGGTTTGAAGTGATGTAATAGAGAGGTGGTGTGACTTAAATAGGATAGTAACTTTTGACTTTTTGACTCTTTTAGGTTATGACAAACAAGGTTTTACTCTCTCAATATACACTACACATACCACTAGCCACTATTAGCACCACCGGTAATTGTCACCACTACCTCTGGCACCACACTACTACTTATCTCTCTCTCTCTCTCAGAGGTATGTCACAAAGTATGAGGTGGGTTGTAAGGGTCGTGTGAAGTGGGTGACACAACTGCGAGAATGGAGATCACGACAGTGTAGGCTATGGAGGAATATGTAGCACCATTTGTAGGACAATCTTCACTGTATTTAAATTAATTAAATTCTGTTGTGTACTAAACAACAATCAGAATAAAAAAAAATAAAGGAAAGGAGAGAATTTGTTTGATTACAAAAATAAACTCGAAATAAAAATAGAAATAAATAAATAAAAACAGATTTTATTTTGGTACAAAAACAAAATTAAAATCTGATTTAAATAAATAATAAAATATTGAAAATAAATTAAATAACTTACTTGATTTAATTTCTTCGAATTATTATCTGATCAAGTCCAGTGTTTGACACTATGTCCTTAAGACAGATTCGTCCTCTCCACGGTGCTTTCAGAAATTGGACGTCTATCTCCCAGGATAAAATGATCTACTACAAACAATAGCAGCACTACAAATTGTTTGCCTTACGAACACACTAAGTGTTTACAATCTTTCTTTCAGAAAATAAATGCAGCAAGATGCAGAGATTTATATCAGAGGATGGAGTACGAAAATTGGAGTTAAATCCAAATGGGAGGCTAGTCTATTTATAGATGTAAAGGTGGCTATTGATTTTGAATTGAACAGGTATGAAACCTGTTGGTTTTGAATTCAAACAGATTTGAATCTGTTGGGTTATATTTCAAACAGATAACAAAACGGGAAGGGTCCTGTTTGGATGTACAGTAAAACCAAACCAGTTTAATTTTGAATTATGGATTTTATTTTACCAAAAAATAAAATAAAATTCAAATATTTTTGGCCCAAAAAGATTAGTATTAGGCCGAACAAGCCCAACCCAACCTCACACCACGCACCCGCGCCCAAGCCCAGGCCCAGCCCAGCCCGCCCGACTGGACGGACGGGGGCGGCAGTGCGCGCGTGTGTGGTTATTTTTGGATCCAATGGGTCTAGCCCATTTTGCCCATAACCTCTCCCTCTAAAACACTTGGGTACCCCTTGAGGCACACCCCAAGTACCAAACCCAAGCCTTATAAACCCATTCAAA